GTTACACGCTGGTGGAATACGAGACGTACAAAGAAGCACAGGCGGCCATGGAGGGGCTGAACGGGCAGGACCTGATGGGGCAGCCCATCAGCGTGGACTGGTGCTTCGTCCGGGGACCCCCCAAAGGGAAGCGCAGGTCAGTCTCGTTATTATTACTACTATTATTATTATTTTCTCTTATTATGTATTCTCAGCTTTTGCCTGGGAAGGAGTCCAAAGGGCCTGTTTGCACTCCTGTTGTTGTTGTTATATTTCCTACCAGTTTCACTTGCTTTGTATTATTATTTCATTATTATTATTATTATTATTATTACTACTACTACTACTATTAGTATTTTCTCTTATTATCTATTCTCAGCTTTGGCCTGGGAAGGAGTCCAAAGGGCCTGTTTGCACTCTTGTTGTTGTTGTTGTTGTTGTTGTTGTTGTTGTTGTTGTTGTTATATTCCCCTCCAATTTCACCTGCTTTGTATTATTATTACTACTACTACTACTATTATTATTTTATCTTATTATATATTATATATAATATAATTATATTCTATATTATTATATATATTCCAAGCTTTGGCCTGGGAAGGAGTCCAAACGGCCTGTTTGCACTCTTGTTGTTGTTATATTCCCCACCAATTTCACTTGCTTTGTATTATCATTTCATTATTATTATTACTACTACTATTAGTATTTTCTCTTATTATATATTCTCAGCTTTGGCCTGGGAAGGAGTCCAAAGGGCCTGTTTGCACTCTTGTTGTTGTTGTTGTTGTTATATTCCCCACCAATTTCACCTGCTTTGTATTATTATTATTACTACTACTACTACTATTATTTTATCTTATTATATATTATATATAATATAATTATATTCTATATTATTATATATATTCCAAGCTTTGGCCTGGGAAGGAGTCCAAAGGGCCTGTTTGCACTCTTGTTTTTATTGTTATATTCCCCACCAATTTCACTTGCTTTGTATTATCATTTCATTATTATTATTACTACTACTATTAGTATTTTCTCTTATTATATATTCTCAGCTTTGGCCTGGGAAGGAGTCCAAAGGGCCTGTTTGCACTCTTGTTGTTGTTGTTGTTGTTGTTGTTGTTGTTGTTGTTGTTATATTCCCCTCCAATTTCACCTGCTTTGTATTATTATTACTACTACTACTACTATTATTATTTTATCTTATTATATATTATATATAATATAATTATATTCTATATTATTATATATATTCCAAGCTTTGGCCTGGGAAGGAGTCCAAACGGCCTGTTTGCACTCTTGTTGTTGTTATATTCCCCACCAATTTCACTTGCTTTGTATTATCATTTCATTATTATTATTACTACTACTATTAGTATTTTCTCTTATTATATATTCTCAGCTTTGGCCTGGGAAGGAGTCCAAAGGGCCTGTTTGCACTCTTGTTGTTGTTGTTGTTGTTATATTCCCCACCAATTTCACCTGCTTTGTATTATTATTATTACTACTACTACTACTACTACTACTATTATTTTATCTTATTATATATTATATATAATATAATTATATTCTATATTATTATATATATTCCAAGCTTTGGCCTGGGAAGGAGTCCAAAGGGCCTGTTTGCACTCTTGTTTTTATTGTTATATTCCCCACCAATTTCACTTGCTTTGTATTATCATTTCATTATTATTATTACTACTACTATTAGTATTTTCTCTTATTATATATTCTCAGCTTTGGCCTGGGAAGGAGTCCAAAGGGCCTGTTTGCACTCTTGTTGTTGTTGTTGTTGTTGTTGTTGTTGTTGTTGTTATATTCCCCTCCAATTTCACCTGCTTTGTATTATTATTACTACTACTACTACTATTATTATTTTATCTTATTATATATTATATATAATATAATTATATTCTATATTATTATATATATTCCAAGCTTTGGCCTGGGAAGGAGTCCAAACGGCCTGTTTGCACTCTTGTTGTTGTTATATTCCCCACCAATTTCACTTGCTTTGTATTATCATTTCATTATTATTATTACTACTACTATTAGTATTTTCTCTTATTATATATTCTCAGCTTTGGCCTGGGAAGGAGTCCAAAGGGCCTGTTTGCACTCTTGTTGTTGTTGTTGTTGTTATATTCCCCACCAATTTCACCTGCTTTGTATTATTATTATTACTATTATTACTATTATTGTTGTTATTATTTTCTCTTATTATATATTCTCAACTTTGGCCTGGGAAGGGGTCCAAAGGGCCTGTTTGCACTCTTGTTGTTGTTGTTGTTATATTCCTCACCAGTTTCACCTGCTTTGTATTCTTATTTTTATTATTACTATTATTATTACTACTACTATTAGTATTTTCTCTTATTATATATTCTCAGCTTTGGCCTGGGAAGGAGTCCAAAGGGCCTGTTTGCACTCTTGCTGTTGTTGTTGTTGTTGTTATATTCCCCTCCAATTTCACCTGCTTTGTATTATTATTACTACTACTGCTACTACTACTATT